TGGTATTGGTATGGCTCTTGGGTTACGCTTGTGTCTTTCCACAGGATGCTAGTGTCCCCCAATGGCTGCCTTGAATGCTTTGTCCAATAATGAGATGACTCGCAAAGGGTGCTGGCAGAGGATGAGTCACCTGATTGTGAAGATGCAGCACCTGTCTATCAAGGGGAAGGTGAAGAAGAGGAGCTGGATTCGGGTCCAGAGCACCAGGGGGGACAGCAGTCCAACTTGGGGACAGATTAAAGCTCTTTGCTACCAGGGGACCCAGGAACTTTGTAGGCAGGGAGGAGAGTTACTCTTTGTGGCTCTCTTGGCTATTCTATCCACCCCTAGTGAATGGGGGATGTATTGGGCCTTTCTTGCAGACCCTCCTTTGGCTCACCCAGTAACTTGGGATAAACTGTCTGTTACTGAATGATACTGCCCTATTTGGTGGCCCTGGCACTGAACATGTGGGACCACATTCTCCTGAGATCAACTATACTGTCTTCGCTCCTACTCTGCCCATTTGTTTAGGGATTCTATTTGGGTTGTCAGGCACTGTTTCTGAACTTGTGAGTTGCCTCCCCCTTACCTGGGTAAGGTAAGCTTATGGGTTTATTATTCAGGAAGAAGAAAATATTTCATTCTATGACCATGCATATTTCATCTATCACCTGACTCTTATTGTCACTCTCTCCATTAACCAATTATCTTTTTGTTTTGAGGGTCCTGTGCCTTGAGATTATCAAACTCCCAATTGGGAAACATAGTCACCTCTATTAACTAATCCTGTTACCATATTTGGTTGGCAGGAGGTATTTCTTAATCTTTTCTGGCACCTCCTGGTATTGATGGTGACCAGTTCCTTGGCACCTCTCAATGGCCCCATCCAGTCCTACAAGCTACAAATGGAAAGTTACAACCAGACCTGTGGCTCCTTGCCACCGCCATGGACTCAGTTCAAATTAATGGGACTTTTAACAAAGAAGAACAAGTATGGTATAGACAGCTTATGTTTTATGAACTCACTGCTTGTGTGAATGCTCCTCTAATGTTACTGTCTTTTTGGTTGTGAGCCTGAGCCTTTAAAGACTGTGCCAGCTCAACTATCTGGAAAGCTGGTTATAGAGCCAATTTCTACTGGAGTCCTGGTTCGATACCACAGATGTACTAATAATTAATAATTATATTAATGCCACCCCATCTGGACCTCCTGCCTTATTGATTGTAAAACAACTTCCTTTTGTTATGGTACCTGTACTAGTTAATGACACTGGGTATGGGGATTTTGGCCAGCAGGTCATTTTTGAGTTCCATAAGGGCCTTGTCAGATCCCACCAATTCTTTAGGGAGCCTTAGTGCTAGTATTTTTGCCATAGCCGCTGCTGTGCCACAACCACTACCACTGCTTTGGTACACCAGGTTCACACTGATCACTTTGTCAATAAATGAGCCCACAATACTTCTCAGATTCTACAAACTCAAGAAAATATTGATAGGAAAATAGAAGCTAAGAGACAGTGGTTTTGCACCTGGGGGATGAGGGGCAGACCATGCAACATCAGATGGCTCTTCAGTGTCATGCTGCCTACAGATTTATGTACATCACTCCCTTCCAGTATAATGAGACTACTTGGGACTGAAAATGAGTAAAGCAACATTTTCTAGGGATAGGGCATCATAACAATTTTAATTTAGATCTAATACAATTGAGAAAAGAAATTGTCGAACTTAGTGCTATGCAGCTTGATTATATTTCCCCTAGAGAATTAGTAAATGATCGGTTATGTCAGCTTAAAGATTTCAATTCCTTTAATGTCTTACAGCATTTTTCCAATGATATTACGCTTGTTGGCATTGGATATTCTTTTTGGACTGTTGTTTTGTTGTTGCAACTCTGGCTGGGCTCTGGTGTGAGTTACATGGCATACAGACCCAAGTAATTCAGTTTGTACTAAAAAATAAAAAGGGGGACATGTTGCGAGCTGACTATTCAGGGTTGCCAAGTGCAGGCAGTTTGGCCCTTGGAGAGTAGCCAAAGGATATGGCAAGGCCTATTCTGACTGACCTGGGGATGTACAGGTCAATCCTTGGCAATCAGTCTCCAGGTGCATGTCTTTCTCTTAGTAGTCTGCTTGAGTGCTGCTGACACAATTGCATATGATTAATGAAACTGATTATTGAAACTACATGGTTCAAAGGAACTTATGGTTCTGTGTAAAAGTTCTATAGTAAGATCTCCTGATTTGAGACAAGGTATAAAAGCATTTTAATTCTGGGTTTGGAGAGATGGCTCAGTGGTTAAGAACACTGGTTGTTCTTGCAGAAGGCCTGGGTTCCAATCCTAGCACCCATATGACAGCTAACTACTGTCTGTAACTCCAGTCCCAGGGGATCAAACAGCCTCTTCTGACCTCCTTGGGCACTGCATGACATGGGTGAACTTACTTACATGCAGGCAATACACACATACACATAAAATAAAAAAGTGTTCTAATTCTGCAATAAAATGCCACTTGGCCATCAGCCTACGGGTCTCCTGATCCCAGCTGTTTCTGTGTCTGTGTATTTTTTCCTTCCTCCCCTACCCTTCCCTCTCAGGTTTTAGGATCCTTACAGCTGGACTGGGGTGGTGATAGTTCAATGGAGGCTGTGTGTCCTAGAACTTTTCTGTGTCCCACAACTGGGACATAGGTCAGTGCATCTACAGATGTTCCAACTAGCCTCACCTCCTTTACTGAAGCAGCAGAAAAGCCTCGGGCTCAGGACAATAGAATCATGCCCACCATTGACATGTCAGGGACACAGAGAATCCAGACATACACACATTTTATTCAGAGGTGTAGGTGTGTGGATGGAAGGCAGGCCTGGTCAAAGGCAAGAGAGTCAGGGAGATTGATGCTTCTGGTTAATGCTATTGTGAGGTCAGTTCAGTACTCACAGCAGCAAAAAAAACTTGTTCAAGGAGGCCTGGACTGAAGGGATGAATTCTTCCTGGTTGCGTCTGGTCAGGGTCACTAGCAGGCTATGGTCCAAGAGCTGTGAAGAAGCCTGGGTCAGAAACAATAGAGAACCCAGACACTTATCACTCCCCTGGCTTAGCCCACTGGTTTCTCAGGACTTTAGGGCAAGGCCTACCTAACCTTCAGGACTCTGATGCCTCCCTGCCTGACTCCCCACACTCATTCTGTGGTTTATGGGTGTTCACACATAGCTTCTGGACAGGGAAGTCACTCAGGGTTGCAAAGACAGTGTGTAGGTCATTTATGTGGCAAACAGTGTTGGTCAGCACTTTGAACACATTTTCGCCTTATGTCAAGTACAAACTGAAGGAATACTGGATGTTACAAGACCCATTCCTATGCCTGGGATACAGAAAAGGGGCAATAGGTAGAAACCATGTTTCTGTGATAACCATGCCTGATTTTTGCAGAAGGAAGAAACTACCTTTCCTCTCTATGAAGTAAGATGAAGGCAGGGTCTAGCAGTCCCCCGGACATGTTTCTACATAACAGGCTTTCAGACTGGACTCAGTTTATTCTAAGAAGTTGAGTTTGACATAGGATGCTTTTACCATAGTCTCCCTGACACACAAGGTGCCCAATGCACTCTCTCTGGGCATGACTGAGCTGGGCAGGCAGGGGGTCAATGATTATAGTTTTCTCTGGGATTGTGCCCTGTGCATCCTGGAAAACCCCTGACACACTCATTTATTAGCATCCATGGCTGTGAACCCCATAATGGATCCCAATGACCAGGCCCAACCCACCTGGATTTAAGTGCAATTTAGAGAAAGACCAAGCCAGCAGCACCCCAGGGGAGGGTTGATGGCTGGGGTACCAAGGTTGCTTTAAGTAATATCACTTGTGTATCTTCTGTATCTAGTTACCTTCCCAAGAGGCAAAAGCTATAGTTCTATACCTGATGTGGCCAAGGCCAAAGGCATGAATTTGTGACCCAACACAGATCTATCACAGTGGAGATGGCCTGAGCCTTTTCTGATGCCCTTAAGGACATGTGAAGGTGCTAGACCTGGCCCACTAGCTGCAGGTGTACTCTTGTTACTGCCTAGCACATTGCTCTTTGCAGTGTATTCAATAAAACTTTTCCTTCTACTCAAACCTGCAGGGCAAATTCAGGAGCTGGAGAGATGGTTTAGTGGTTAAGGACACTGACTGCTCTTGGAGAGGACCAGGGTTTGACTAACGACCTTCGGTTACTCCAGTTCCAGGGATCCAACACCCTCTTCTGACCTCTGCAGGCATTGTACAACACCAGTACACTTACACGGATGCAGGCAATATACTCATACACATAAAATAAAAATAATAAATGAAATATTTTTAAAGTACTAAAAAAAAAAAAAGAAAACTAACAACTGTCCGTAACTCCAGTTCCAGGGTATTCAACAGCCTCTTCTGTCCTCCACAGGCATTGTACGACATGGGTGCACTTACCTACATGCAGGCAATACACACATACACATAAAATAAAAATAATACATAAAAAATATATATATATATACGAAGAAAAACAAAACAAAACACAAACAACATCATCAACAACAAAAAACTAAGATCTGGCCCACCTCACCCTCTTCTGGGATCGGTGATTCTAGCCTCTGGGATCCTTACTTGGGGATATTTGGAAGGGGGATGCCTTCTCCAGTGCCCTTCCACGGACTAGACACCTTCATGTGGGAAGCAGTCCTGGGAGAATTTACTCAAACTTGAACCTGAGGAAAGGCATGGCTGGGGACCCCACTACCACCTACCCCCGGTTCAACGACACTTGGAGGTCAATGCCGAAGTCACGTGACCCAGAAACTTGTCCAAGGAGGCCTGCATAGCCGGGCTGAAGTCTCCGGGGTAGTGTCGGGCAAGAGTCACCAGCAGACAGTGACTCAGGAACTGCAGGAAAAGGGAATCGCCCGGCCTTTGCATTCTCCTTTGCATTCAACTCTGCCCAGATGGGACCCGCCTCTCCAGCAACCACAGGTGCAGCTCCGCCCCTGAGCTCACCTGGAAGTTGGCTGGGTCCACTCGTAGCTTGTGGGCATGCAGATCGCTCAGAGCAGATAGAGCACCCGGCAGGTCGTCCAGATGGTCGGCGGCGAGGTTCAGTGCATCGGCCACCTTCTGGCCGTGGGTTTTGACTTGGGTAGAGCCGGGGCTCAGGTTCAAGTGTGGAAAGTAGGTTTTGGTAGAGGGAAAAGCCAGGAAGGTCCTGTGGGAGGGAGGGAGGAAGGGTGGGTGCCTCCGGGCTGGGACATGTAAGAGAGCGCGCTTCCACGCTGCAGCCCAGTGGCAGGTGAGCCCGGGGGCTTCCAGCTCTGTCCGTACCTCTCTAAGGCCTCGGTTACGTAGATTCCCAGGTTGCTGCCAATCTTCTTCCACAGAGCGTGCACCATCCAGCGTTCGGTCTCAGAGAGCGCCATCTCGATGCTCCCTCCTGGCACTCCGCGCCCAGGCTGTGCGGAAAGATTAGCCGAAACTTGGCCGCTAGAGGCCGCTGCAACATTCCAGGCCGCCTAGTGCTCACAGATTTCTCCCTGGACCCCAAAGCCTCATAACATGCATTTTCTGATTACCACGAATTTTACTGGGCACGGTTGGTATATTCTGCCTCCTGAGTCAGTAGAAGGAGTACTTGGACACTTCTTAGGGTCTATTTTCTCACACACTGTTTAAAATGATGAGTATCTCTTCTTGAGGCGACTATCCCTTGAGAAACCTGGATTCACACTTGAGCATATCTTATTTTTTCCTGGAGCACTTCTCTTTCTACTAAACCCTCTAAACTTAAATTTATGTCGAAAATCCCTTTTAATAAATTCCAACTCCACTTCAAAAAGCATTTTCTTCTCAGGGTTGTTGTGAGAATTAAAGAGATAACAAATGTCAGGTGTCTGGATCCCAGCATATGTTCCTTTTGGGACAGTGACATTTATGTTGTATTCTAGTAATAACAGCAGAAAGTGACAAAGCACTCACTTGGTGGCCCACACCTGTAGTCCCAGCACTTTGGAGGCAGAGGCAGGTGGATCTCTGAGTTCGAGGCCAGCCTGGTCTACATAGTGAATTCCAGGACAGCTGAGGTTACAGGGAGACCCTGTTTCAAAAGACCAAAAAAAATTTATATAACACATTTACATTCTTTTTACACTTTATTGTGTGTGTGCACGTGTGAATGTGTGTGGGTGTGTGCATCCCACAGTGCATGTGTGGAAGTTAGAGTTGGTTCTGTCCTTTCAACTTGCAAGAGTTGGTTCTCTCCTTTCTCCATGTGGGTTCTGGATATCAAAATCAGGTCATAAAATTTGGCATCAAGTGACCTTACCCACTGACCCATCTTGCTGGCCCCTTATTTATTTATTATTTTTGAGACAGAGTTTCATTATGTAGGCATGACTATCCTGGAACTCACTATGTGGATCAGGCTGGTCTTGAACTCACAGAGATCCACCAGGCTCTGCCTCCTAGGTGCTAGGATTAAAGATGTGCACCAATACACTTGCCCTTTATTTTGTTTTATGGAGATAGAGCCTTGCATGCATGATATAATTGAAGCTGGCCTTGAACTTCTGATCCTCCTGCCTCTACCTCCCAAATTCTTGGATTACATGTACGTTCCACAATACTAAGTGTATTTTAGCCATCTTTGATGTGTAGCATTTAGTGCATCTGCAATGTTGTACATTCATCACTACTACAAAGTTCCAGAAGTTTTTCATCTTCCAAAAAAAAAAAAAACTCCAGTCCATTAGTTTTAACTATCTAACCCCATCCTGAAATCCTGGGCAACCAGGAGAGCCCGCTTTCTGCCTCTATAGCTTTTCTTATTCTGGATATTCCACATACACAGAATCATGTGTATGTGGTCTTTGGTGTCCAGTTCTTCCACTCAGTGTAATATTTTCAAGGCTTGGTCTCATTCAATAAGAACTCTACTTTGTGTGTATGTGTGTGTGAAGAATATTCCATTATGGGCTGGAGATGTAGCTCATTTATTAGAGTGGTTCTCTTGCATGTATGTATGTATGCAGCCCTATGTTCAATCCCCAGCACTGCATAAACTAGGTATGGTGGCACACATGGGTAATTTCAGAACTGAGGAGGTACAGACAGGAAGGTCCAGAGCTCAAGGTCATCCTTGGTTATATAAACAGTTTAAGGCCAGCTTGGGCTACATGAAACCCTGTTTGAAAGGAAGGAAGGAAGGAAGGAAGGAAGGAAGGAAGGAAGGCAAGCCCATTCTGTGTGTGAGCCACATGTTGTCTATCCACTTCCCTACTGATGCTCATGTGCTGTCTCTCCACCTTTGGCCATTTTTCTAGTAGAAAAACAGCCACTTACCCAGAGCTCACACTGTACTACACAGCTGGCATTGGGCATCACTGAGACTGAGGGCTTGCAATAGGCATTTTCCATCAATGACTCTTGGGCTCATGGGAAAAAGACACTGCTATCAGTGGAATGGGGATGGACTGCTGCCAAGCTCGTTTCCAAGCCTCCCTGGAATGCCCCAGACCCAGGGCCTGCTCTGCAGGAAGGGGCATGACCAGGGGACACTGGTTATGCCTCTCAGGCTCTGGAGTTCCTCTTTATTGCCCCATGCGGAGAGTGGTACTACCTGCAGGGTGACTAAGTGGGTTCTGGGCTGGGCTCAAAGACTTGAGTCTTCAGCCCTTGATGGTTCCTGGTCATTAGTGTCCCAAGAATGAGCATCCTGGGGTGGCACCTCCACAGAATTGTCTGGTGTTCGCAGTTGTGCCACTCATTCCTAGTTTTATCCATATTGTGCTTGGGGGACCTTAGTAGAGAATGAAGGAGGAGGATTCACTATCAGTCTGAAGAAGGGAGGCCTCCTCACCAGCCACCTGTTTGGGAGCCCTGGAAGAGCTGGGCCAGTTTTTGTGTGTGTGTGTGTGTGTGTGTGTGTGTGTGTGTGTGTGTTCGATGGCAATGAAATGTAGTGGTGGGGAAGGTAATTGTGTTGAACCTGAAATGAAACCCAGCATAGGAATGAACCCAGCCAAGCACTGCAAGCTCAGAGGTTACCCAGTAATCGTTGGTAGACTGCTCTGCATGGCTCTTCTTCACTGTCCTTTTCTCCCCTTCTCTTTCCCCCTCAACCCAGGCACCTTTGCAGATACAGAGAACCAAGGCACACAAGCTTGGTGCCACTCAGACTTTATTCAAAGACCAAGAGGTACAGGTGCGAGGAGGGGAGGAAGGCAAGCCCGGCAAGGGGCGGGCCCTGAGGCTCCAGTTTAACGGTATTTGGAGGTCAGCACGGTGCTCACAGAGGCCAGGAATTTGTCCAGGGAGGCATGCACCCCGGGGGTGAATTCGGCCGGGTGGTGGTTGGCCAGGGTCACCAGCAGGCAGTGGCTCAGGAGCTGCGGAGAGAGGAAGACCCAGTCATTGGCAGCAGACACTCCCACTGCCTGTACCCCTCCTTCCATAACCACTGCGTTATCTGCCCTCAGCACAAGGTCCTTTGTGCCTTCCAGCCCAGATCCTTCTCTGCCAGGCTTGAGCACACACCTTGAAGTTAACGGGGTCCACACGCAGTTTGTGGGCGTGCAGGTCGCTCAGAGCAGACAGGGCACCGGGCAGGTCGTCGAGGTGGCCCGCGGCGTTGGCCAGGGCATCAGCCACCTTCTTGCCATGAGCCTTGACTTGGGCGGAGCCGTGGCTTACATCGAAGTGAGGGAAGTAGGTCTTGGTGGTGGGGAAGCTGGTGAACATCCTGCGGGAAGAAAGTGGGAGGAGGTACAGGAGGTCAGGGTAAAGCACAGTAAAGAACAATTAGGGTCTGCCTCCTGGGCCTTCGATCTGCAGTCCTTTCAGGGCAGAGGGCAGGGGTCTCACCTCTCTAGGGCCTCCGCACCGTATTCCGCACCATGGCCGCCAATCTTGTCCCAGGTACTACGGACGTGGTTCTTGTCTTCAGGAGAGAGCACCATGGTGAGTTCTTTCTGAGTCTGTTTCAGAACCAGAAGCGTGCAGGACCTGCGGAGCTTGCTGCTTATATGCCTGGAGCGGCCGGGGGACACGCCCTCCGGATCGCGCTCATTGGCTAGCGCGGTGCGGTGAGATGCAGGGCGTGGCTGGCAGGGGGCACCCGAGAGTCTCCAGTCCCCCACCCTCCCGCCCCCGAACCTGTGCAGAACACTGAATAGGGTCTGGGAGGGTTCTGGCCTCATCCCGAGCCACCGGTGATGAGGGGTATTTGGAAGAAGTATGAGTCCCACTGATTTGGGCTGAGAAGGAAGTAACTCAGACCAGCCTTGCCAACGCTTCCTTGTGTGTTCTTGTTTCTCACTTTTCCTCCTATCCCGCACTCTTCTGTCGCAGTCCTATGCTTCATCCTGGTTCTGAGAACTAGAAGGGTAAGATGGTAGGAACCTACTGAGGAACCAGGACGCCTGCACCAGGCCTGGGACCACCCCACTTTCTGAATGCTGCTCCAGTCTCTGCTCTTCCTGAGCCCCTTTAAGACAAGTCTTAGGTTTTTTTGTTTGTTTGTTTTTGTTTTTTTGGTCTTTTTTTGAGACAGGGTCTCCCTGTAGCCCCAGCTGGCCTGGAACTTGCTATGTAGACCAGGCTGGCCTCGAACTCACAGAGATCCACCTGCCTCTGCCTCCTGAGTGCTGGGATTAAAGGCATACACCACCACATCTGGCTAAGTCTTAGTCTTACAGACATAAGTCAAACATTTTTCTCTTTCTCCATCTATCCCTCAATCCTCTCATTTTTCTTGTCTGCCTCCATCTTTTTCTTTTTTCTCCCCTCCTTCTCCTTTTTTTGGGCCAAGTCTTGCTATATTTTCTAGGCTGGTCTGGAATTCTTTGGCTCAAGCATTTCCTACCTCCACTTTCTCAGCACATGGAACTGCAGGAGCAAGTCACCACATTCAGCTGATTTGCGTCTTAACATACTAGGAGCTCCCATATATTAACAAGGAAAGAGTCTAAAAGCTGGTTTGGCTGCCACACACATTAGCCCCAGATGCTGGGGAGGCTGAGGCAGGAGGATTGCTTTAGCTCAGGAGTTTAAGGTTAGCCTTTGCAAAGAGGGAGCCCATCTTTTTTTTCTTTTTCTTTTTCTTTTTTTTTTCAGTCTCTTGAATTTGTTATTACAGAGTGAGGGTCATGTTTTTCCTTCAGATGTCCAGCCCCTCCTGCCGCTAGCCAGCAGCCAAAGTCAGGTCATCCTGGGCCACTCCACAGCAAAACTTTTCCTGGGACTCTGCTGGTAGTGAGACCAACGCCTGGCTTCAGTGGCCCTCCACAGATTCTGCCTGTTTTCATTTGGTTGGTTATTTCCACAGCTCCTTAGACAATCCAGCAGGCGGTTGCAAATCCACCCTGTGCTCCTGGGGTCGGCCCTGTCCTGCAGGCGCTCCTGGTACTGGGCTGCTGGACCCAGGGGGAGTCCAGCGCCGGCCCACACGCTACTCGGGAGACTGCACAGAAAGAGGAGGGACAGAGGAGGAAGCAGAGCGCCCTGAGCACGGGTGCCGGTGCTGGTGCCGAGGGAAGAGCAGGGATGAGAGCCCCATGCTTTATAACAAAACAGTAACAAAACAGTAACAAACAAAACAGTAACAATCAATAACAAACTGAGGATGTAGCTGAGTGGCAGAATGCTTGCCTAGCATGGAGAAGGTTCTGGATTCAATTTCTAGCTCTGCAAAAATAAGTAGATAGATAGCGGTGAGGCAGAAGTTGGAGATATGCCTGTGATACTTAAACTCAGATGAACGCTCTTGGGCTCAGTTCCAAAGTTCTTTGGCTTGGGTTGAGGGAGACAGGGCAGGACTATTTCCCTAACTGGAATCACACACACACACACACACACACACACACACACACACACACAGTGTAAAAATCTAGATGAATGTGTCTCTTCTTTCTCTTTTCTCCCTTCCTCCCTCCCTCCCCCTTTCTCTCTCTCTCTCTCTCTCTCTCTCTCTCTCTCTCTCTCTCTCCTTAGAACTGGGTCTCATGTAGCCCAGACTGGCCTTGAACTTTTTTTTTTTCCTGTGCTACTGCTACTCTTGAACTTCTGATGTTCTTGTTTCTACTTCTCAAGTCTGGGATGGCAGTTGTGTACCACCACAGCCAACTTTGTTTTTCAGGTCTGTCTGTCTTTCTTTTTTTGAAACAGTCTCATGTATTTTGAGGATGACCATTGAATTTCTGATCCTCCTGCCTGCACCTCTCAAGCACCAGAATTACAGGCTTATGCCACCATGCCTGGTTTTATAGAATACTATGTATCAAACCCAGGGCTTTCTGCACACAGGCAAGCACTCTACCAAGTGAGCTACATCTCCAGCCTCTTACATATTTTTGTACATTAAATAAAAATGGGTTGGTTGTAGGCAGAGGAGGAGTCCATTGGGAGAGGTGGGCGAGAACTGTTCATCTTATTCTAAGAGGTCCCTAACCACACAAAGAAATGGTGGGTGAGGTGGGGGTTTACCACCCTCCTCAAATTTTATCCAGTGTTGCATGTGTAGGCTGTCTTAGAGAATGGACCTTGAGGCTCTGTTTATTTCCTAGGGCTTCACAGCCAGGCAGAGTGTTCAAGCATGAGGCTTGGGTAGGGGGCTAAGAGAGAGGGCTTAGCACATGGGACAGGGATGTTGTGACTGATGCTAAGGTGTATGTGTGGGGGGTCAGAACCAGAGGATGATCCTAGGAGGCCTGGGTGGAGCCAGAGAAGGGGACAATGAGTTGGGTCACTAGCTGGGGACAGTGGACTGTTTATGAGCTTCATGAACTGCAGCAAAAAGGGACAGATGCTGTGTTATGACTTCCCCAGGAGTACTCTCTACTGAGGCCAGCCTACCTTCTCCCTCTCTTCCAAGTTTACCTGCTTTCTGAGGGTTACTGTGAGGGAACAAGGGCAGGTAGGACCAATACTCTCATCCCTGCATGCATGTCCTCTGATAAGAGTTTTAGTCACCTTAATTTGCATCGGTAGCAGTCTATTTTTGTTATTATTATTATTATTATTATTATTATTATTATTATTTTGCTTTGCTTTTCCTTTGTTGCTTTGAAGTATAAGGGAATCAAACCCAGGGTGCTAGGCAAGTGCTCTACCACTGAGCTACATCCTCAGTCATGCTTCTTTTTCTTCTTCTTCCCCCTCTTCTCCTCCTCCTCCTCCTCCTCCTCCTCCTCCTCCTTCTCTTCTTCCTTGTCCTCCTCGTCCTCCTCCTTCTTCTACCTCTCCCTTCCTTCTCTGATCTGTGAATTTTTGAGATGTGGGATGTCTCTCACTATGTAACCCAGGCTGGCCTTGAATTAGTTGTTTCTCTGACTCAGTCTCCGTAGTAACTGGGATCACTGCCATGTAGATTGGTTCTGCTTTGATCTACGTTGTATGTTTAGCTAGTATGAATCAATGATATTTCCAAAGGAGGGTGTACATTTTAGGATTTTCCTCCTCTGTCCCCTGAGGGCACCCCTGGGAAGGTTAGCCCTTCCTAGGACAGGGACATAAGTCACAACCTTCTCTGCAGCTGCTTAAACTTGTTGCCCTCTCTACTGCAGAAACATCCCTCAGCTAAGAAAGTAGACTCTGCCCACTGCTGCCACTTCAGGGACACAGAGAACCCAGGCTCATGTTAATCACACAGACTTTATTCAGACTAGGAGATACAGGTATGGAATGAGAGGGGGGCCTAGCCAGAGTCTAGAGAGCAGGAGTAGGGCCCCTAAGGCTCTCACTGAACAGTATTGGGAGGCCAGCTCTTTGATTACAAGTTCCAAAAACTTGTCCAGTGAGAGAAGAACCTTTGGGGTGACTTCATCTAGGTGGTAGCTGGCCATGGTCATGAGCATGCTCTGATACAGATGATGTGTAGAGAGGAAGTGTCCCTCATTGGTCGTAGAGGCAGCGGGGAGCTCCTGACTTCATTTTCTGCAACCCTTGGGGCTGGCTGCAAGTTCTGAGACTTCTATTCTTATATCTTTCTGGGCTCTGCTTGAGTGATGATCTTGAAGTTATCTGAGTACACACATAGCTGATGGATACACAGGTCACTCAGAGCTGACAATACAGTGGACATGTTGTCCATTTGGTCTACTACATTGTTCAGTGTAACAGACACCTCCTTGCTTTGGACCTTGATCTGAGTAGAGCTGAGGCTCACTTTGTAGTCAGGAAAGTAGGTCTTGATGGTAGAGAAACTGATGAACATCCTGTACAGAGAGACATCACTGATGGTAAAAGGAATTGGGAAAGATTGGGACAAGAGCAGTTAGGGAGTGCCAACAGGACCATAGGGCAGCAGTTGGTGTTTAACCCAGGAGTTGGAGCATGGGAGCAGGGAAGTCTTCACATCTTTAGGCTCTCTTCACTATACTTAGCCACATGGCTGCCAACCTTGACCCATACAGCCCCGAGTCATCAACAGAGAGCACCATGGTGGGTTCTTCCTGAGTCTTTGCCAGACTGAAGGTCTTGGACCTGCAAAGCCCTGTGCATTTATGTATAGTGTGCAGGAGGTGGCTGAGGTTGATGCCATGGCAGGGTATGAGTGCAGCCAGGTTCCTGGACTGGGCTCCTTGGTCTGGGAGGTTCTTTCACTAGGAAAGTGCAGAGGGGGACTGGTTGGGGCTGAGTTAAGCCCCCACAGCTGCCTTAGGTCTCTCAGTGCTTGCAGGCAGAGACCAGGGTCTTTATGCTGTAACTTTTATGTCTTTTAAAAAATATTTTATCTATCTATCTATCTATCTATCTATCTATCTATCTATCTATCTATCATCATCTATTTTGGTCTTTTTGAGACAGTGTCTCCCTGTAGCCCCAGCTGTCCTGGAACTCACTATGTAGACCAGGCTGGCCTCAAACTCACAGAGATCTGCCTGCCTCTGCCTCGCAAGTGCTGGGATTACAGGTGTGTGCCACCATGCCCGGCCAGAAATATTTTTTTATTTTTTTGTTTTATGTGTATGAGTGTATTGCCTGCATGTATGGGAGTGCACCCGTGTCATGCAATGCCACAGAGGTCAGAGAGGGCTTCAGATTCCCCATTCCCCTGGAACTGGAGTTAAGGACGGTTCGTAGCCGCCATGTTGGTGCTGGGTCCTCTGCAAGAGCAGTCAGTGCTCTTAACTGCTGAGCCATCTCTCCAGCCCCAACCTATTATGTCTTGTTGTTCTTGGACAGTTTCTTGAAACTGCTAAACTCACAATCTATCTTTATGTGGCCCAGACCCAAACTGTGTTGGGGAGAGAACAATCTTTAAAATTTTTTAAATAACGCTGGGCGTGGTGATACATGCCTTTAATCTCAGCACTCGGGAGGCAGAGGCAGGTGGATCTCTGTGAGTTCAAGGCCAGCCTGGTCTACATAGTGAGTTCCAGGACAGCTGGGGCTACAGGAAGACCTTGCCTCAAAAAAGACCCAAAAATTTTTTAAAATTATTTTTTAATTAAAAAAAAATATACTATTTTAATTTATGTGTGTGTGCATCTGTGCATAGATGCGTTCGGTGCCCATGAAGGCCAGAAGAGGAGGTTGGATCCCTGGAACTGGAGTTACAAGTGGTTGTGAGTCACCTAAATGGGTCCTAGGATCTGAACTTGGGTCCTCTGTAAGAGCAGCAAGCACTCTTAGCCATCTCTCCAACCCCTATTTATTTATTTGTGTGTGTTTGTGTGTATGTGTGTGTCTGTGTGTAGAGATCTCCCAGTCCCCGAGCATGACACAGCCCTGAAGGACTCTGGAGAGCCACATAGGACTGGCCTGGGACATCATACAACCACTGCTCTGTTCTGCTGAGCTTGTCGGGAACCATATCAGATTGTTCTCCTGTCAGCACTAACACGCACAGACCAAGGCCTGTGGGATGAGGTTTGGCACTGGCCCACACCTGTGCTTGGGTACCTTTCCCCCCACCTCAAGGGCTCTGTAATTACTCCTATGTGGCAGTCACTGCTCGGCCAAGAGGAGTGAGAAAGAAGCAGCCAGGAAGTCCCCTCTAGTCCTTTCGGTGTAGAGTGGAGGAGCTGGGTCCGGGACCCCCAAAGTGTTAGGGTGTCAGGAGTTGTAATATTAGACTGAGGAGGTCCTGACATCCACCCACTACACCGAGTGAAGGGGATTGCAAAGATGAGGAGAAAGAAGCCAAGACCCGTGGCTGGTCCTGGGATGCTCTCTCTCCTGTGGGCCGCGACTCTGGGGTTCTCAGGGGCCAGAACCTGCCCCCTAAAGCACCTTCGGTTTGTCCTCCAGGCGGAAGCCCCCACTATCCCACAGCTTCCCTCCTTCCCTCCAAGACAGAGGACGCAGAGCCAGTTGTTCCCTTCTTCAACCATTTATTGGGGACACCAGGAAAGAACTGAGGGAGGGTTTAGGGACAGGGAGGAGATGGGGTCGTGGCCCATCCTGGAGGTCGTGGCCCATCCTTGGGGGGTCGTGTCCGCGGCGCTTAGCGGTACTTCTCTGTCAGGATGGAAGACAGGATCGACAGGAACTTGTCCCAGGATTCGTGGACTTCAGCTGTGAAGTCGGCGGGGAAACGAGCAGCCAGGGTGACCAACAAGCAGTGGGACAGGAACTGCGGAGGTGGAAAAGACGGTGAGTGCTCAGTGCCGAGCAGACCCTCTGGGGGCTCCTTCCAGCCTCTGTGCTAGTCCCACTCCCTCTGCCCAGTCTCCCTACCTGACACTCTCCATCCTCCTCCATCCTCCCACTGTCCTCACAAGCCCACCTTGAAGTTGACCGGGTCCACACGCAGGATGTAGGCATGCAGCTCGCTCAGCTTGGTCATGGCTCCCCGGAGGTTGTCGAGGTTCTTAACGGCCTCTCCCACAGCGGCCACAACCTTGGCGCCGTGGGCACTCAGCTGCTGCGACCCCTGGTACAGGTCGAAGTGTGGGAAGTAGGTCTTCGTCTGGGGGTAGCTGGCAAAGAGCCTAGGGGCAGAAGAGGACAAGTGAGTGGGTGTTAATTACCCAGAGCTGGGACACAGGCCTTTTTTTGCCTTGGGCACAAAACTTGAGTTCCCAAACACCCAGTACACACACACACACACACACACACACGCACACACACACACACACACACACACAAAATATTTTTTTTTCCCCAGTCTTTTTGAGACAGCGTTTCCCTGTAGCCCCAGCTGTCCTGGAACTCACTATGTAGACCAGGATGGCCTTGAACTCACAGAGATCCACCTGCCTCTGCGTCCCAAGTTCTGGGATTAAAGGCTGGCACCACCATGCCTGGCAAAAAACCCAGTAATTTAAAAAGTTAAATTAAATGCAAAAAGTGTATGTTGAACAGCACATTACAAAAAACAAGCCCAGTGTGGTGGCGCAGGCCTTTAATCCCAGCACTTGGGAGGAGGAGGCAGGCGGATCTTTGTGAGTTCGAGGCCAGCCTGGTCTACATAGCAAGTTCCAGGCCAGCTGGGGCTACAGGGAGACCCTACTTCAAAAAGACATAAAACAACAACAACAACAACAACAACAACAAACAACAAACAAAAATGTTGCAGGCAGGAGAGATGGCACAGCTGTTAAGAGTGCTTACTGCTCTTACAGAGGACCCTAGTTGGGTTCCCAGTACCCTCAACAGCCTGAAACTCCAGCTGCAGGGGGATCTGATGTCTCTGGTCTTCACTGGTTCCTGTATTCATGGGCACACATATACACACACACAATTAAAAATAATAACAATAAATCTTAAACCCATTGCACCAGGCCCATTATGGCAAGGCATGCACCCCCCTCACTGCCTATAATTCATTCATACTCATTCACACCCATGCAAGACTTTGATGAGGACTGTGAGATCTATAGTTCTCTCTCTTCCAGTCCACCTCTTTTAGCAGCTCACTGGCCTGCCAGGTCTCCTCTTCACAAGCACTGATCTCACAGTCTCCTTCTGACTAACCACTCTACATCACCCCCTTCTCACCATATCCTCCTCACTGACCCTTCTTCACTGACCTTTCCTCATCCTCTCACCATCTGCTCACTGATCCCCTCTTTATTGGCCTCTCATCATCCCCTCTCACTATGTCCTCCTCACTGACCCCTATTCACTGACTCTCTCCTCACTGTCTTCCTCACCATCCCTTCCTTGCTGGCACCTTCTCAATGGCCTCTCTTCACTAACTTCTCCTCATCATCCCCTTCTTACTGACCCCTGACTTCTGATCTGGTCACTCAAGCCATGGTATCTGGTACTTACCTCTCCAGAGTCTCAGTACCAACAGATTCAGCCTGCAGGGCAATCTTGTCCCACATGGACATGAGGGTGGCTCTCTCATTCTTGGTCAGAGACATGGTGGTGGTGAAGGCTGGAGGCTGTGCTGGAGCTGAGTGCACTCAGGACTGGCCTGGTGGTGCTTGTCCCCAATATCCCCTTATATACACAGTTAGGGGCCCAGCCTGACTGTGGTCACTGACTGGGAGAGGGGAGGGGACTGGTGAGGTGGGGTCTGTTATCAGACTCAGTGGGAATGGGAGACAGAGCCTGGTGCAACTGGGTGGGTCAAAGGCTATCATTTCTGCCCACCCACCCTTGGCCTTAGGAGGAGCGTTGGTCATAGTCCAGCACAGAATTCAGGAGAGATATCTCAGGCCTCCAGCCATCTCAGGAGGCCATCCCTGTGTTTGAAGCACAGATCTGCACTGTATTCACTCATTTCAGAATCACAAACCGGGGCCTAACATCCTCCTCCTGGGAAACACTGCTTGTGCCATCCCCATCCCCTAGTCTCTGGGATTCCTGGGATTCCTCCAAGAAATGCTGGTCTTGCTAACTTAGCACTGAGGAAAGAGTGTGGAAGTCTGCTCCCACTAGCAGGAGGAGGGGGAAGGATAACAAAAGAAAATCAGCGATTTGCAGCATGGCCTTCCATACCAGTGTCACATGAAGCAAATAATTCTTTTAATTTTATTTTAACATACAGTTAAATTGAGTTTTAAATGTCTTCTGAATTTGATACATATATAGATTTATGTAACTAAGTCTCACTCAGAATACAGAACAGCTCAATCATTCCATAAACTCTCATGGCTACCCATTTGCAGCCTTACTCTCCAATTTCATCTTTTTCAAGAATTTTGTGTACCGAAATCATACAGTATTGTAACCTTTTTTTTTTTTCCCTGCCTCCTGAGTGCTTGGATCAAAGGCTTGTGCCATCATACCTGGTACTTTTTGTTTCATGACATGAATGCACAACAGTTTATCTTTTTATTCCTCAAGAACTTTTGGGTTATTTCCAGTTTGGGATTATTACAAATAAAGATGCTATAAACATTCATATATAGGTTTTAGTATGAACATGTTTCTGTATCTTTACCATTTTTCATTCCTAACAGCATCATTGCCAGTTTTTGCATTTTAGCTGTATGACAGGTAGATAGTGACATAGCATTGTGACCGAAAATTGCATTTCCCTGGTGGTCACTGATGTGGAAGACCTCTCCATGTGCCTATGTGCTATCCATATGTCATCTGTGGCAGTCTATCTGTTCAAGTACTTTGTCCATTTTAAAATCAAGTTGTTTATTTTCTTACTGGTAAATTTATTTTTTATTTTTAATAATATTTATTATTTTTATTTTATGTGTATGAGTGTTATGCCTTGCATGTAGGTAAGTGCACCCATGTTGTGCAATGCCCGCGGAGGACAGAAGAAGCTGTCAGATCCCCTGGAACTGGAGTTACGGACAGTTTTTAGCTGCCATGTAGGTGCTGGGATTCGAACCTGGGTTTTCTGTAAGAACAGTCAGTGTTCTTAACTGCTAAGCCATCTCTCCAGCTTCCTTACTGGTAAATTTATGAGTGTTCTTGTATAATTTGGGTGCAATTCCTTGTCAGACATGCTATTTGCAAATATTTTCTACTAGTTTCTACTTTTGCAGTTCACCTTTTTTATTTTTTCTACTTATTTGTTTATTATCTCTCTCGTGTCCCTGTGTGTATGCATGTGTGCATGTGTGCTAGAGCATGTGTGGAAATTATAGGACACAAAGATTTTTATATTTTCTTCTAAAATTTTCATAGTTTGTGTTTTATATTTGTACAGATGATTGATTCATTTTGAAATAATTTTTTGTATGAGGTGTGAGGTTTGGGTTCAGGTTAATTTTTTTTGTCCATGGATTCTAATTGTTCCACCACTAATTGTTGCAAAGGTTCTTTCTTTCTTTTTTTTTTTTTTATTTTTTTCAGACAGGTTCTCCCTGTAGCCCCAGCTGTCCTGGAACTCACTATGTAGCCCAGGCTGGCCTTGAACTCACAGAGATCCGCCTGTCTCTGCCTCCTGAGTGCTGGGATTAAAGGCGTGCACCACCACGCCTGGCTGGTTCTAAGTCTTCTATTAAATTGACTTATATTGATTTGTAAAACACAATTTGCTGGGCTGGGAATATGTATTTTCTTAGCTTGTACAAGGCCCTGGATTTGATTATCAGCCTTACACTCACTCCTCCCCACCCCCATGCTAATTAGCTATCACTTCTCTGCCTATTAGATATGAACTAGAATAAAAATTAACTAGCATATTTTTTATTACATTTTATTCATTTATTGTGTGTTTGTGTGTGTGTGTGTGTGTGTGTGTGTGTGTGTGTTCATGCATGCATGTGTGCCATGGCATGCAAATGGAGGTCAGAGGACAACTTACAAGAGTCAGTTCTTGCCTTCTATCATGTGGGTCCTGGGGGTGGAACTCAGGTTATCAGACTTGAAGGCAAGTACCTTTATACACTGAGCCATCTTGATGGGCCAAATTAGCTATATTTTATAGGCCATTTTCTGGACTTAATAGAGTCTATTGATTTATGTGTGTATTCTTAGCCACAATCCTACTATCTTGAGTACTATAGCTTTATGGTAAGTCTTTTAAAAAATTTTTTATTTATTATTTTTTTTAAATTTTATGTGTATGAGTCTCATGTACTGCCGCATGTAGATAAGTGCACCCGTGTCATGCAATGCCCGTGGAGGTCAGAAGAAGGCATTGGATTCCTCCGGAACTGGAGTTATGGGTGGTTGTTAGCCACTATGTGGGTGCTGGGAATCGAACCCAGATCCTCTGCAAGAGCAGTGAGTGCTCTTAACCGCTGAGCCATCTCTCCAGCCCCTATGGTAAATCTTAAGGTTGGGTAGTGTTCCACAGAATGAGAAATGTTTTATTTATTTATTTATTTATTTATTTATTTATTTATTTATTTATTTATTTTTATTGGATTTTTGAGGTAGAGTCAGTTATGTAGTCTAGGCTGGCCTTGAACTTATGATCCTCCTGCCTCTGCCTCCCAAGTGCTGGGATTATAGGTATGTGCCAGCATATCTGGTAAGAAAAAAATATTTGATAATCGTGTTCCTAAACTTATCCAAACTAAGGGACTGAGGCTTAGCTATGAAAAGTAACAAGATACTAATGCCTGCTTCAATGTGGATGATCCTCGAAAACTTGGTGTTCCGTGAAAGAACAGACACAGAGACCACATGCTATATGATTCCGTATCTATGAAATGTCAAGAACAGATGGAGCGATAGAAACAGAAGTAACCTAATGGCTAGTAGGGCTGGGATCATTGGGGGTATGATGTGGGTTTTCTTTTGAAGTGATACAAAGTTCTAAAATTGACTATGATGATGGTTGCATGACTATAGATACCCTAAATTCACAGATCTGTTCACACATTAAATGGGTAAGCAATAAAGTATCTAACTTTTATCTTACTAAAGATATTAAAACAATCTGCTGGTTGTGGTGGCAAATGCCTGTAATTAGAGACAGAGATAGGAGGATCATCACAAGTTCCAGGCCAGTCTGGTCTTCATAGTGACTCCTGGCTAGATTAGTCAGGACTGCAGTGTTTGACTCGGTCCCCCGAAACACGACAAAACCATGCTTGCTTTGGCAGCACATATACTAACACTGGAAAGATACAGAGAAGATTACCATGACCCCTGTGCAAAGACGACACACAAATTCATAAAGTGTTCCATATTATAAGAACAAAACAGCTGGGTATAGTGGCTCATGCCTTTAATCCCAGCACTTGGGAGGCATAGGCAGGCGGATCTTTTGTGAGTCAAGGCCAGCCTGGTCTGTCTAAATAGTAAGTTCCAGGCCAGCTAGAGCTACAGGGAAATCTTGTCTCCCAAGCATGCTACCCCAGGCCTTTAATCCCAGCACTCAGGAGGCAGAGGCAGGTGGATCTCTGTGAGTTCCAGGCCAGCCTGGTCTCCATAATGAATCCAGGCCAGCTGTGGCTACAGGAGACCCTGTCTTAAAAAGAACCCCCCTAAAAAAAGAAAAAACAAAATAAAACAAAAGAACCAAAACAAAACACCAATTGCCAGATGTGGTAACACAGGTACTTGGCATCCCCACACATGGAAGGTAGAGGCAGGAGAATCAAGAATTCAAAGTCAACCTTGGTTACATAGTGAGTTTAAGGACAGCCTGAGTTACTTGAGACTCTGCTTCAAAAAGCCAAAAAATAATAAAGTTAGCTAAAGACTTATCTGTACACAAATCTTGCTGAAATTTTGGTGCAACCAGAGACAGTTGTTTTGATCATAAGTGAGTTTTGATCATAGATATTTTGATGAATTTTCTTGGCAAAACGTGAGGGATTTGGATAAGCCTTCTGCATAAGAAACAGTAGGGTATTTTTTGTTTTTGTTTTGGTCTTTTTGAGATAGGGTCTCCCTGTAGCCTCAGCTGGCCCGAACTTGCTATGTAGACCACATTGACCTTGAACTCACAGAGATCCACCTGCCTCTGCCTCCTGAGTGCTGGGATTAAAGGCATGTGCCACCATGCCGGGCAGAAAACAGTAATTTTTAGTGTTTGCAAGGACTAAACACCTTCTGTATGCCAGCACTATGCTTAGTGTTCAGCGCAAGTAATGGTGCTTATTTTTTGATGCCTGAGATGTGAGATGACAAGATTGTTAAGACTTGGGGCAGAAGCAGTGTCTGATGCCCTTCCCTGTTGAGTAGGTATTAGGGTCTCACTGGCTGTTCAGTACATGATTGTGGCCTGGAGTTATAGGTCTATCCTTCAGGAGGCCCCTTCCAGCACTCTCTGTGCCTCTCTCCTTACTGATCTGTTCCATATTTACATTTCACAGCTGCCTCTTGTTAGAGTCTAGGTCTGCAGACGACTTTGTCCCAGTGTAAAAAATCCTCACAAGATAGCCATGAGGGACCCCTTGCAAAACAGGAACCGGCCAGAGAGCTACATTTAGAACTGTCTCAGCACAAAGCTGTTCCCCAGATAATTTTGGAAGATAAACAGGACCCTACACCCAGACCCACTAATGTAAGAACTCTCTCAGTTCAAGCTACTTCCTTTGAAACTGAAGATTATTTTAGCCACCTTCCAAATTCCCCAGCCCCCGTATAAGAACTTCCTCAGCAGTCAAGCAGGCTGCTGGTTGCCTTTCTGTCCCGAGCTGAGCTGCCAGCCACCAGCAATCCTAAGAAATAAACTTTGTTTCATTGGAGTCTGCCTATGTTTCCTATGGCTATTCCCTGCCTGGCTTTTAAATATCTCTTGTTCTCTTACTGCAGGATTTGCTCTTTCAGGGGTGTGCCCACCTACCCACTGCCTTACATTTGTCTTGGAAAGTGCTGCTGACCCCAGGAGGCCCTAAGGTCCTTTCCTGGACTGTGGAACTTGGCACCTAGGGTCACTTTGGATTGTGGGCCTGTGTGAGGGGACATGAGGCTAGTTTATTGGATGTCTGTCTGTCTGTTTGCTTGCTTGTTTTTGAAGTTGGGAGAAAGTGAAGCGGTGAAATCATGAAACCATTCTGCATCATTCTAAGATGTTAGACATATGACACAGCCACTGTAATGATATTCACTGGCTGGGGGTGTGGGAGAAGGAGCACCTCACGACCCACCAAGGGAAAGACCCTTTTGACCAAGGAAAGGGGGGAGGGGGGGAGGCACGGGCTGAGCTGCTTTTTTTCCAGTGACCTGAACAGTTGAAAAAAGGGAGGTCATTGGTTTTGGATTAAAATGTATGAAACCACCGGGCGTGGTGGCTCACGCCTTTGGTCCCAGCACTCAGGAGGCAGAGGCAGGTGGATCTCTGTGAGTTCAATGCCAGGCTGGTCTACATAGTGAGTTCCAGGCCAGCTGGGACTACAGGAGACCCTTTCTCAAAAAGACCCCCCCCAAAAAAAAAATTGAAAAAAGAAGCCATGCTCCTAGAAAGCAGGAAGATGACAGGGTTTGGGGACAGAGAGAGAAAACAAATGAGTGCATGAGACAAGGCTGTAGCCAGTGAAGAGAGGTACACAGAACTGGGAAAGCAAGCCTCCTGGAGAGGGTCCCTCAAGGAGCCGCAGTGTCCAGTGACCTGTGGCCAGAGACCCTGCAGGTCTGTTCTGTTCTCTAACAGAAGAGTTATGATGATAAGATTCCAGGCCTCTGCTTCCAGGGCAGCTTCCCTTCCTGCTCATGATCCTCACCTCTTCTCAGGCCCGGAGGAAGCACCCACCCTTTTCTATGCTGGGGCCTTACAAGGGAGGAAGCTGCAGGAGGTCTCTTTGTTTCTGAAACATCCAAATCCTGCAAAGCATTATTGTGGGCAGGTATCCTTTTCTGTCTCTCTTTCTTTCTTTCTTTCTTTCTTTCTTTCTTTCTTTCTTTCTTTCTTTCTTTCTTTCTTTCTCTCTCTCTCTCTCTCTCTTTCTTTCTTTCTTTCTTTCTTTCTTTCTTTCTTTCTTTCTTCTGTTCCCTTCCTTCCTTTCTTCCTTTGAAACATCTTTTTCATTATGATGAAAAAAAGATATACATTCTAACTTAATGAATTATTATAAAGAAGACCTTTAAGCTGGGCGTGGTAGTGCACACCTTTAATCCCAGCACTCTCAAGGCAGAGGCAGGCGGATCTCTGTGAGTTCAAGGGCAGCCTGGTCTACATAGTAGGTTCCAGGACAGCTGGGGCTACAGGGAGACCCTGTCTCAAAAAAGGCCCCCCCCCAAAAAAAATAAATAAATAAAGAAGACCTTTAACGCCAGGAGTGGTGGCACATGCCTTTAAGCCCAGAACTCAGGAGGCAGAGACAGGCGGATCTCTGTGAGTTCAAGGCTAGCCTGGTCTACATAGTGAGTTCCAGGCCAGCTAGGGCTACAGGGAAAACTTGTATCAAAA